GAGGGTCACATTTCACCATCTGGTTGGCTGACTCAAAGCCTGCATTGGTGATCTCTGCTACAGAAAGCTGTTCATGGTAGAGTTTCTCAGCAGAGATGACAGGAGCATAGGTGGCCAGAGGGAAGTGGATGCGGGGATAGGGCACCAGGTTGGTCTGGAATTCTGTCAGATCAACATGCGGGGCTCCATCAAATCTGAGGGAAGCAGTGATGGAGGACCCAATCTGACCTATCAACCTATTTAGATTAGTGTAGGTTGGGTGTTCAGTATCGAGGTTTCTATGACAGATGTCATAGATGGCCTCATTGTCTACCATGAAGGCACAAGCAGAGTGCTCCAGGGTGGTATGCGTAGTAAGGATGGAGTTGTAGGGCTCAACTACAGCTGTGCAAATCTTGGGGGGCTGGGTAAATGGAGAGCTCCAGCTTGGACTTCTTGCCATAATTAACAGAGAGACGTTCTATCAGCAGGGAGGTGAACCCGGAACCAGTTCCCCCTCCAAAACTGTACAAAACCAAGAAGCCTTGAAGACCTATGCCCTGGTCAGCCAATTTCTGAATTTGGTCCAAGATAAGGTGAATGGTCTCCTTGCCAATGGTGTAGTGCTCTCAGACATAGTTATCGGCAGCATCTTCCTGGCCTGGGATGAGCTGCTCAGGGTGGAAGAGGTGGCAGTTGGTGCCAGTGTGAACTTCATCAATGACTGTGGGTTCCAGGTCTACAAACACTGAAGGTGTTGAAGGTGTGCTTGCCAGGACCCATCTCACTGAACAAGGTGTTGAAGGAGTCATCTCCACCTCCAGTGGTCTTATCACTTGGCATCTGGCCATTAGGTTGGAAGTGTTCCAGGCAATAGAGTTCCCAACAGGCATTGCCAATCTGGAAACCAGCCTGGCCAACATGGATGGAGATACACTCATGCATGGTAGCTACGGGATAGCAAGTGCAAGTGACAGGAACAGACATTAGTCCCAGTTACCATCCCTGACAAGCTAAGAGTCGAGGTAAGTAATGCACTCAAATTAGATCATTCTTCTTGAGTCATCACCGAGTTTACATCATTTTGTTAATTTCTATGTGGGCAATCTTTGTACTGTTTATCAATACAACTCATAAAATGATACTTAAATTCAGAAATAAATCATAAATTTTACATATCATGTTCCAACATTGCATTTGGCTCCTATAAATCACCTGTACTATGGACTTAGCTTTGGCTCATGACAATGTAGCTTGATTCCAAACTGGACAAAAGATATGAAACAACTGTCTTCAAAATACTAGACAACAGCACAGGAGTGTGATACTTGAGAGAAGGGGAGAAAAAGAGTTGAACCCTGCCCAAAAGCAATTTCTGAACTGTGACATAAGAACAAGGAAATAAGGCAGAGCCCAATGGTCTGGCTTAGTTGAGGAATCTGAAATATGATCTTGGATACCAAAGTGGCTTGAATTGCAGAACAGGGTTGCAGTGAGGAGGAAGCTGTGCAGAGAAAGAGCTCCAGAAATCTGCAAAGGGGTCTTCTCCAGTCTTTGGTGGAATAAAATAAAATAAGATGCATCTTTATGTCATTTACAAGAAATGGCTTTTTAAAAAAGATTGTATTAAAAAATAAAAAATAAAAAAGATTTTATTTATTTATTAGAGAGAGTGTGTGAGCTGGAGGGAGAGGGAGAGAGAATCTGAAGCAGACTCTGTGCTGAGTGCAGAGCCCAACTTGGGGCTCAATCTCCCCACGACAAGATCATGACCTGAGCCGAAACCCAGTCCACTGCTCAACCAATGGAGCCACCCAGGAGCCCCATTTACAAGAAATGTTTTAAATATAGAGGTAAAGGGATAGAAAAAGGTAGAACATGTAAACTCTAGTACTAAAACAGTTGGCTTAGCTATATTAGTATCAAAGTAAATTCAAATAAAAAAATATTACTAGAAATAAATAAGAACATTTAACAATGATTGAAGTGTCAATTCATTAAGAAGACATAACAATCCTACTTGTATGTGCACCTAATGACAAATCTTCAAAAATTCATGAAACAAAAACTGGCATCACTAAATTTATAGACAAACTCACAATTGCATGTGATTTTAACACTTTATTCTCAGTAATTGATAGAACAAATGCAAAATTCAGTAATAAACTAGATTTTGAGCAACCAATTTAACCTAATTGACATTTATACTATACCCAACAACTGCAGAATTTATATTCTTTTAAATTTTACTTGGAACATTCATCAAGATAGGCAATATGCTGGGCCAGAAGCCAAATCTCAATAAATTTCAGAGGACTGTAAGGATAAAGAATATATTCTGTGTTCAAAACAGAATTAAGTCAGAAATCAGTAATAGAAGGATATCTGGAATATCTCCAAATATGTGGAAATCAAGCAACATACTCCTAAATAGTCCATGGTCAAAGAAGAAATCACTAGGAAAGTTTTAAAATATTTTTAACTAAATGATAAAAAAACAACACATCAAAATTTGTTGTATGCAGCTAAAACAGTATTTGAAGGCAAATTAGTTTTAAATGCTTGGGTTAGAAGGAATAAAGGTTTAAAATCAATGATCTATGTTTCCACCTTAGAAATTAGAAAAAACAGTAAATTAAAGTCAATGTAGAAGGAAAGAATTAAAAATAAAATAATAAATATACATATTAAATACAGTAGGAATACATAATAATAATAATAGCAGAAACTAATGAAATTTTAAAAATTAGTAAAGAAAATAAATAAGGGTAAGAGTTGGTTCTTGGAATAATTAATAAAGTTAAAAACCTCCTAGGGGTACCCGGCTGGCTCAGTACGTGGAGCATGAGACTCTTGATCTCAGGGTTATAAGTTCGAGCCTCACATTGGATACATAGATTACTTAAAAATAAAATCTTTAAAGAAAATAAAATATGAATTGAAACCTCCTAGATAGACTAATTGAGAAAAAAATAAGGGATCACAAAGTCTCAACTGTAGACTTAGCACAGTCCACCAGTGGGCCAGTTGGAGATTTTTTGATGCTCTTCTTTTGGTTACATAAACACCATGCTTTGGAGCACTGGGTGTTATGCACAAACAATGAATCATGGAACACTACATCAAAAACTAATGATGTATGGTGATTAACATAACAATAAAAAATTTTTTAAAAAATAAACACCATGCTTTTGGGGGGAATAAAAATCCCCCAAATTAATGTCACTCAAGACAGTCTATGGTGCTATAACAGGGTAATACCCAAAATCATCCAGAAATAGGCAATGAAGGAAAATATAAAGTTCTGCTTAGGCAACATTTAAACTGAGAAAACAAGGATCCTAAATAAGTTTAAATATTTTTTTATGAGTGTTTTTCTCCTTATTTTCAGAACTGAAAAACAAGAATTACAGCAAAGTGCCTCCTACCTAAAACAGTCCTTAATAAGAAACTGGAATCCAATTTTTATAAGAAATTATCTGGGTGGTACATTTTTAGTGGGTTTGTTTTTTCAAAAAAATATCCAATTAGCAAATAGGTTAAGAGCACAGACTCTGAAACCCGACTTCATTAGTTAGCATCCCAGTTCCCCCACTTGCCATCTATGTGTCCATAAACAAGTTACTTAGTTTCTATGTGCCTCTCTTTCCTCATCTGTAAAGCAGGGATTAATAATATTATTGCCAATCCATTATGAATGATTTAAAAAGCAAATATTTATAAGTGCTTAGAATAGCGCTTGCTCACATAAATGCTATATAGATGCTAAATAATTAATAAATAAATACTACTTTGGATCACATTTACAATCATCATCAATGTTTAATAAAGGCAAAATTTTCAAGTCTGATGTTCAAACAAAACTTTTAAGTAGAAATCTGAGTTTTAAGGCTTATTATCCAAATTTGGGATAAATCTCCTTCCCTTCCAATTTCCACCTATTTTTCCCATGCTATTCCTTCTCCATGAAGTTGTCCACACGTGAAAGCATGTGCCTTGTATTGTTGAACTGACTGATTGTTCTTAACTCTTTATCAGCCTAAGAACAAGAAAAGCAAGATTGAGGCCACTGCCATGATACTCTTAGGTAATAAAGTTAATTGCACTGTTTATACTACCTAGAGCAAAGGCAAGGTGAGCAGAGGAGAGACTTTTCTTCATTGTTGAAGTCCCAGGGCACAGAGGCATCCCATTTCTGCGGCAAAGGTTTTAGCAGGAATTATACCCATTTCATATGGGATAATGACCTACTACCAAGCCTTTCACTAACTAGTTGGTTAAGTTACTTAACCTTACTCTTTGCCTCTGATCCCTCATCTGTAAAAAGTGGCCATTAATAGACTAGGTTGTGAGATATAATGAGTGCCTACATACGCATGGCAAAGCAAGAATATCATAAATGTTAGCTATTACTATTTTGTGGGAATAAGTCGTTTCATTTTGAGCATTGCTTCTGCTTTAGGATTTATTGCAAATAACTGCAAGACTTAGAGAAAAAAGGCTTTTGGGGGACATGAGTTTGAAGCCGAGGGACCGCGGGGGAGAATCTGATAGCACCAGAAGGGCAAAATCTGTTAGAATCAACTTTAGCATGGTGATCAGAGCAGAATCCCAATGGCCAGCAACTTCCTCACAAAGCCGCCAACATTTGCGCAGGGCCCTCAGAAAGACATTTTTGGAGCTCGGAAGAAGCCAGAAGGGGTGCTCAACACGGCCTTTACTCCACTAAATTGCCGGAGAGTTGGCTCGGCGGCCTCCACGCTCCGACGAACACTGAGAAGTGTCCACCGCGCAGCTCCAGCCGCAGACCCGAGAGGCAGCTAGCGCTCCCGCCAGTCCCACGAGGGACCAGGACCCGCAGCCGCGGTCCCAAACCAGAGCACTAGTTCCCAGCCTCAGACCTCGGGGGCGTGGCTCGCGCGGAGGTCCATCCATCCCGTCGGCGGAGGCTGTCCAGGGGCGGAGTCAGCGCTCACTCGTCCGGAACCCTACAGCTCCGCCCCATCGCGGCCCCTTGGGGAGCCGGAGAGGCCAGGGTGGAGAAGGAGCGAGGGCCTGGTCCGAGAAGCCCCGACTGGGGGCCATGGGGGGACAAGTGAGGCTACCGCCTGGAGAGCCCTGCCAAGAAGGTGAGTGTGGGACCTGGCATCTGGGTGGTGATGAGACCGGGTGGGCGGTGCCGGGTACTTGTGGAGAAGAGAAATGAATACACCGACTCGTAACGCATTCATTTGTGCGTGTACCCATTCAGTCTTTCGGCCAGTCAATAGCTACTTACTGTGCGGACAATGTGCCAGGCTCTGGGAAAGCCTGAGTCGAACAAGATAGACATACGTGGCTCCCACTGTGGTCCAGGAGGCAGACCCATGTAAATTACAGCGTGCTGAGGGTCGGCACAGGGAAAATCAGGGTGCTGGGGGGGAAGATTCCCAAGTCTTGTCTGAGAAAGACGCTTCCTCTGAATCAGACTAGCTTCCAGAGTCCGCGGTCTAAGTCACCCGGTGGGCAGAGGGCGTGCCCCGGGACCGGCGGGAGTCTGCGTTGCGCCCTGCGTTGGCTCAGCGAGGGTCAGACACTGTGGAAGGTCAGGCGCCCTTGGCCGCGGGGGAGGGCGGTGGGCCCGCCGGGGCGGGCCACATCTCTCCTCTGTCTTCGAGATGAAAACTTGTGCAACCCTGCTAGCCTCGCGTCTGACTCGCTGTGCAGTCACTTCTTGGCTACGTAAGGCGAGAGCCCAACGGAAGAGGACACGGGGAACTGGGCGCAGTCAGTGGTAGGTTTGTTACTGCCCGCTAGGCTGGGGTTTCGGCCCCCAAGCGAATCCTGAAAAATCGCTGGGCCATGCCACTTGCCCTTTGCCAGGTGTTTACAACACTGGCAGCCTTTCTAAAGTCACAGCGCAGAAGGCGCGCGTGAGCCAGGATAGAAGTCGGGACACGAATACCTGGGAACGCGCGGGCTGACAGGAAGGGTGTGTCTCAACTGACGGGACAATTTTCGCCTTGTGAAGGCGAAGGCTGATCTCTAATTTACCTGGTAAGGACGTGAAGAGGGAGGAATGAGGGGCGTGGCAAGAACGCCTTTCCAAAGTTGCGAACAGCTTCCCAGGTTTCCTCTCCTCTTGGCTCCTCCAGATTATTCTTTGACGCAGAGTTTAAACTAAAAAAAGGGGGGGAGGGAGGCTGGGGGGGAGTTGGAGGGGGTGTCAGTGAACTAGTCAAAACTATGCCAGCAAGAGAGAGAAGGGACGCAAAGAAAGAGACAATGCCTGAACAATTCACAAACTACTCAAAAGCTGAAGTTTTGGAAATGGTTTATACTAAAGCAGCTGGATCAGGAATTATTTCCTAGATAGATTGCATGACCTTTGTCTAAATAATTCCTAAACCAGTAAGTTAGACTGTTAATAGCATATCCTCCCTTATTTACCCGAGGATCTGTAAGTAAGGAGGGTTTGTGAATTACACTCGCTTGTTTGAACTTAGATGTTTTCCTGCTTTACTCGTGAATTTAGTTCCAACAAGATGTATTCAAGCTCAGTGCTTAATACCTGTGATTAATTATAATTAATTGTGTGGGAGAGACTTGAGAGAAATCAGAATCCTTACCAACAGTGGGAAGAGATCAGGCTTTAGCGTCAGTCTTCTCAACTATAACTTAACCTCTTTGAGTCTTCATCTATAAATCAGAAATAATTTGTACAGTTTACAGTTGTCAGATTACATATGAAGCACATGGCTCAGAGCCTGACATGGAGTAAAGGCTCAGTTTTTCATGTGTTCATTCATTCATTCATTCAAATAACAAGAGTCCATGTGCCAGGCACTGACGTGGGTGCTGCTATGGGCGGATTTGCAAGACAGTCTAGTCCTAGACTCTAGTAAGCCTCCCATGCAGCTTACTGTGTAGAAGGCAGATAATATGCAACAAATGAATAAAAAGGACATTACAAGAGTGGTAACTGTCATGAATAATGTACTGAGAGAGTTGAGGATGTTTAGATTGGATACTCAGGGAAGGTCCCTTAGAGAAAGTTCTATTTGAGCTGAGATCTAGATGACAAGGAGTCCATCATGATATCTAAGGATAGAGCATTCCAATTGGACTTCTGTAAAGAAAAAGTTAACCCCATACTTTGGTTTTTACTCTTAAAACCATGGATGCTTCAAAAGACTTCTAATCCAAAATTTTCTTTTTTCTTTTTTTTTAAAGATTTTATTTATTTATTTATTTATTTGAAAGAGAGAGAGCATGAGTGGGGGGAGGAGCACAGGGAGAGGGAGAAACAGACTCTCCCCGCTGAGCAGGAAGGACAATGCAGGACTCAGTCCCAGGCCCTGGGATCATGATCTGAGCCAAAGGCAGATGCTTAACTGACTGAGCCACTCAGGCACCCCTTAATTTTTTTTAAATCAGTAGTGTCTTCTCAATTTTACTTTGGTTAATTGAAATAATGGTCTTCTTACCCAGCCTTAATGGCATTTATATGTAAAGATATTACTATGACTTGATTTCCATACTTTCTCACAATCATTCCTCATTCTTATTCTGTGCCAAATTTTCTCTAAATTATTTCTCATTCCTATTCTGCTCCCTTTGTTCCTGTTTGATAATTCTCTAAAATTGTCAGCTTCATGAGAACAAAGACCTGTTCACCTGTCTTGCTGGTCACTGTCTCTCCCGTACTTAGAACAGGGCCTGGTACTCAGGAATTGCCCAATAAGAATTTGCAAAGTGTTGAATAAATGAAAACCTAACATAGTGCCTTGCATGGTAGGTTTTTAACAACTTTTTTGTTGAATAGATATATGGATGTACAATATTGTCATAAAGTCATAATGAAGTTGTGAGAAGAAGTTTGTTTCATCGGCAGCATTAAGTAACAATGATGTGCTGATATGATGGAAAGCCACTGAGAAGTTCCTTTTTTGAAGATTTTATTTATTCATTTACTTGAGAGAGAGAGCGAGGGCGAGAGAGCATGAGCAGGGGGAGTGGCAGAGGGAGAAGCAGGCTCACCACTGAGCAGGGTACCCCATGTGGGACTCCATCCCAGGATCATGAGCTGAAGGCAGATGCTTAACGGACTGAGTCACCCAGGCACCCTTGAGAAGTTCCTTTAGAGTGTGAGGGCAGAGAAGGCCTTTCTAAGGAAGTGATATTTTAAAGATTTATTTATTTATTTTAGAGAGAGAGAGGGAGTGTGCATGAGAGGGGGGAGGGGCAGAGGGAGAGGAAGAGAGAGAAACTCAAGCAGACTCCACGCTCAGCACAGAACCCAATGGGGGGCTCGATCTCTGAGATCATGACCTGAGCAGAAATCAACAGTTGGATGCTTAACCAACTGAGCCACCCAGGTGCCTCAGGAAGTGACATTTTAAAGTGAGACTCAATGAGGAGTTAGCTCTACCTGCAACTGTCAAGGCTAAGTAACAAGTAACAAAGCTTTGAGGTGAGAAGGAATTTAGCCTATGAAGGGAACAGGACCAAAAACAAAACAAAACAAAAACCCAAAAAACAAAACAATTGTAGGGAATGTGGTTAGAGAGATAACTGGAGGCAGGATTCTGTAGGCTCTTGTAGACTGTGGTAGGGATTTTAGATTTTTCCTAAATGAGAAAGGAGGCCATTGTGGAATTTTAGAGGGAGAAATGACAAGATTGGACCTACTAATCTAAAGACTCATTTCACCTGATCTTGCCCCCTCTGCTCTATCTTGACCTCATCTGAGGCCATCTCCCTTCTACCACGCCAGTCAGCCTCAAGCACATTCCCGCCTCAGGGTTTTTACATTTACACATAGCGGAGAGGTTTGTGCACTTAATTAAAAAAAAAAAATTCCTTTATGCTACTTTTTCTGCTTTCCATGGCACTCAACATATTATGTAGTTATTAGTTCACTTGTTTATTTTGTTGCCACTCATTAAAATAAACATGAGAGCAGGAATTCTACTTTATTTACTGTGGTATCCCCAGCTTCTAGAAAATGCCAGACAGACAGTAGAGACTCAATAGTTATTGAATCAGTGAGTGAAAAGACGGCTAGTGTTATTTCAGAGAATGAGTGAGAGAGAGGGAGATGCAATTTGATGTCAGAGGTGAGCAAGCGTCAGAGCATGTAAAGCTTTTAAAGAGTTCAGAATTAGGAGTTTAGATTTTGTTATAATTGAAATGAAAAGTCATGGGGAGAGGGGAGGGAAATTAAGTAGGGGAATGATATGATCTAATTCACACTGGCTGATATTTGGAGAATACATTTCAGGGGACATAAAGAAATTCATTCATATTTTTTTCTATGCTAATAGGAATAGGCAGGTATATCCATCAGCTATTGCTATGTAATACACAGCCCAAAACTCAATGGCTGAAAGCAACAATCATATATTCTTGCCTGTGTGTCTGTAGGTCAGCTGACGGTTGACTGATCTAGCCTGAGTTCACCTGGGTGTCTCTGCCTCAGGCTACATGGGCACCTGGGTTTGGCTCCTTCATGTGGGATGAGCTTGGATCTGCTCCATGTGTTTTCATTCTGGGGCTCAGGCTGAAGGGGCAGCAGCTCCTTCCGGAATCTCTATTCCTGACCAATACAGAGGTGCAAGAGAGTAAACTTAAGTACATCAGTGCATTTGAAGCCTGTCCTCATATCCCCTCCACTGCTCTCCCATTGACCACCAGCTCACTTCCAGCCTGACATCGGGGGAAGAATATTCTGCCCACATCAGGAGGGGTAAGGGAGTAGCTATTTGCTGAATAATAAGCCAAACTAATACGTAAAATAGACGGTGAGATAATGATTTCCTGAAACTGGAAATATCTTGTAGTGATTTAAAATGCAGTTTTACGTAATCATTGACTTCTTAGGAACCAGCTTTCCTACTATATGTAATTAACCGAATAATTTAAAGTATTACTCTCTTGTACTTGAAAAAATTATTCAAAGCATTTCATCTTTGTATAAACATTAATAATAACTTTTAGCTGGCTTTATCTGTACTTTATGTTTTTACTTTTCTGAAATAAAAATACTGGCCTGGGAATTGGGTTGCTACTTGGCTGTAATTCTGACAATTATATGGCTTTGGCAAGTCACTTAATATCTTGGCATCAGTTTCTTTTAAAACGTTTTTCAATTACAAGTGCCCATGAGTTTAAAGCAGGTCTATCAGCAACATTTATGAGCCACTGGGATTGTAAGTAAATTACTCTGGGAACAAAGATTGTGTATGATCAAATCACAAAATTACAGAAAGCATCTTCAGAATCATTGAGTCAAACTCCGCTATTTAAAAAAAAAAACAAAAACAACTCTATTTTAGAGATGAGGAAACTGAAATCAAGAGTAAATATTCAACTTGCCCATGATTAGAGATAGTAACAGAGCTCAAAGTGAGGAGAGGTACATAACCCTACAGGAAGTTTAACTTTACTTTGAAATTTTTAGTTTGTGTGTGTGTAAGTGAACTTTCACACTTGTACATGGAAGATACGTATTTATTAAGTTCAACAATACAAAACTGCTATTTTTATGGGGTCAAAAATTGTCAAATATCATTAATTACATACATTTCAACAAAATTAAGAACTTTAGCTGTACTGTTTGTGAAAGTAAAAACATTGTACATGACTCAAGTGTCCACCAACTGTAAAATAGAAAAATTAAATTGTGAGGTAATCATATGGTGGAATTCTACAGAACAGTGGGCAAAAACAAATCCTACAGCCACATGCATCAACACGGATAAATCTCAAAAACAAGCAAGTCCCCAAAGAATACATACTGTATGATTTACATTTTATAAGAGGCAGAAGCAAAATGAAACAATGTACTATTTGAAGATATAGTCATATAAGGGATATCATTTAAAAAAAAGGGATATTACACAGGAAGTCAGGATAGTCGTCTCTTCTGAGAGGTAATGTTTATTTCTTAAATTAGGTGGTTGACACATTGGTGTGTATTGAATTTTTCTTTATAACTGACACATATTTTCTAAATATTAATTACTCAATATTTAGAAAAATTAATAAGAATAATATCAAAGAAGTAATGCATGCACCCTGCTGGCAGGAGTATAAATTGGGACCATCACTTTAGAGGGCTATTATAGTGTCTATTAAAACAAAACATAATGAATGTAATAGATTTTCTCTATGTTGAATAAAGCTTAAACTCCCTGGATAATTACTTAGCTTACTAGAATCTTAAGAAGCCAACTGAGATATCTCTGATTCCTCTGAAACACTCCAGACTCCCTGCCCACACGTTCTACTTTGCCCATCTGTCTCCTGCCCCACCACTCCGCACCCCCCAACCCACCCTTCACTCCCCCACTCCCTCCTTCAGTCACATCTGCTATAGGCTCTCTCCTCAACAGGCACCCAACATAAAACAATTTAAGTTCTAAGGTCAGAAGCTAGACAAGATTTTTATTATTTTTCCTGCCATAAAACTTGCAGCATTAATAGCTACTGCTCACAATAAGAACTTACAAAATGCAACAAAGATTATTTGCTTTCCCTTATCACCCTCTGCCCCCACACCCCCTAAAATGTTGGAAACATTTTGCTATGTCAACAGCTTAGAAAGAATATTGTTTCAATGGAATGAGACCTGCCTACACTGTTTTCAGAGATGAAGTTTTGGAATGGTTATGTTAATTACATAGTAAGTAACACCAAAGCAGCCGTGGAATTCGCTGGGAAGTCAAATCAGATGTTTTCTCAGGAATTAATGTAATGGAAATTCTTACTATAAAAATCACTTTCCATTCTTAGGGTTTTAAATGAGATGAACAGTGACTGGAACAAGATTGCTAAGGGCTGGCTTGTTTGAAAATAAGCAACTCTTAAAACAACCTGCCTGAAAATTCCTCAATGTTACAGAAAATCCCTAAAGTCATATAATTCTCCTTGGAATATTTAGAAGCTTTGAATTAGAATTTATTCTGTATCTTTGAAACAAAGTTGATTCATTTTCAACTTACAGAAGTAAGTGAAATAATAATCATGAAAAGCTTGAATGCAATTATTTTACCTTTTTAGGGAGCTGAACTTTATCATGTTTCTTAACTTTGTAAGTGGTGAATTCAGATAACTGCATAATGTTATGTCAGGGAGGCAAAGATCCAGTTACCAAAGTTTTGTCCCTAAGACATCATTTGGTCAAACTGTCTTTTGTTGTTCATATGCCTTCTTAAGATTTTTGAGATGTAGGGGCGCCTGGGTGGCTCAGTTGGTTAAGCGACTGCCTTCGGCTCAGGTCATGATCCTGGAGTCCCGGGATCGAGTCCCGCATCGGGCTTCCTGCTCGGCAGGGAGTCTGCTTCTCCCTCTGACCCTTCCCCCTCTCATGTGCTCTCTGTCTCTCTCATTCTCTCTGTCTCAAATAAATAAATAAAATCTTTAAAAAAAAAAAAAAGATTTTTGAGATGTAAAACTAATTTTTTTCATTGAATTCTAAAATTGTAGTTGATTCATTTTTCTTTGCCTTTTTTGTTTAGAATAATTCAGAATGGGAAAATTGCTTTTTTAAAGAAAAAAATGAAATTAATGTAACACTGTATATTAACTATACTTGAATTAAAATGAAATAATGGGGCACCTGGGTGGCACAGTCAGTTGAGTATCCGACAGTTGGTTTCAGCTCAGGTCATTATCTCAGGGTCATGAGATTGAGCCCTGCATTGGGCTCCACGCTTAACACAGAGTCTGCTTGATATTCTCTCTCTCCCTCTCCCTCTGCCCCACCCGTTCTCTCGCTCTGTAAAATAAATAAATAAATCTTTTTAAAAAATAAAATAAAATAAAAGGAAATGAACTATTGGGACTTCATCAAGATAAAAAGCTTTTGCACAGTAAAAGAAACAGTTGATAAAACCAAAAGACAACCTACTGAATGGGAGAAGATATTTGCAAATGTCTAAGCAGATAAAGGGCTAGTATCCAAGGTCTATAAATAACTTATCAAACCCAACACCCAAAAAACAAGTAATCCAATCAAGAAATGGGCAGAAGACATGAACAGACATTTCTCCAAAGAAGACATACATATGGCCAACAGACACATGAAAAAATGTTCCACATCACTCGGCATCAGGGAAATACAAATCAAAACCACAAAGAGATACCACCTCACACCAGTCAGAATGGCTAAAATTAACAACTCAGGAAATGACAGATGGTTGGCGAGGATGCGAAGAAAGGGGAACCCTCCTACACTGCTGGTGGGAATGCAAGCTGGTGCAGCCACTCTGGAAAACAGTATGGAGGTTCCTCAAAAAGTTGAAAATAGAGCTACCATATGATCCAACAATTGCACTTCTAGGTATTTACCCAAAGGATACAAACATAGTGATCGGAAGGGGCCACCTGCACCCCAATGTTTATAGCAGCAATATCCACAATAGCCAAACTATGGAAAGAGCCCAGATGTCCATCAACAGATGAATGGACAAAGAAGATATGGTGTGTGTGTATATATATACACACACACACAATACACACACACACACACAATGAAATACCACTCAGCCATCTAAAAAAATGAAATCTTACCATTTGCAGCAACATGGGTAGAACTAGAGGGTATTATGCTAAGCAAAACAAGTCAGAGAAAGACAATTACATGATTTCACTCGTGTGGCATTTAAGAAACAAAACAAGATCATAGGGGAAGGGAGGGAAAAATAAAATAAGACAAAATCAGAGAGGAAGACAAACCATAAGACTCTTAATCATAGGGAACAAACTAAGGGTTGTTGGAGGGGAGGTGGGCGGGGGGGATGGGGTAACGGGGTGATGGGCATTAAAGAGGGCACTTGATGTAATGAGCACTGGGTGTTATATTCAACTTCTGAATCACTGAACACTACCTCTGAAACTAATAATACACTATATGTTAATTAATTGAATTTCAGTAAAATAAAATTTAAAAAAAATAAAAGGAAAACAAAAGTTGAGAAGAGGGTCAGAAAATCTTGTCACAATGTCACCTTGCTGGGCAGCTACCTTTCCAAGTGGAGAACAGATTTAAAAGGTCCTTATATTGTCTACAGTGGGTTCATTTTGTGTTTTAGTGTTTAGATTTAAAATTCTAAGACTCTTAAAATAATGGATCTGGTTCAGAAGATTTACGTGTTTGTTTGAGTCCTATTCTAAGAAAAGCATACTGATGTTTAATTCCTTTTTTTTTTTTTTTTTACTAGATTTTATTTAGGAGAAGGTAGATGAGTAGACCTGAAAAATGATTCTTTTCAGGGAAAGTGGTACAGAAAACTAAACCCCCTTTTAAACACATTTTCGGAAATGCACCATCACCCCACCAATGGGTTAGCTAAATTTCCTAGAAGAGGCCGACCGGTGGATTGCCAGGCCTGTCCCTACACTCAGGCATCAGGAACACTGCTTTCCAGGAGCCACACTGACCAGGTGGAGGAGGGAGGTGGGTCTGGGGGGCCGTGAGGAACGGCTGAGCGCGCACCAGTGCGAACACCTGCCCGCTACTCTTGCTACTCTCGAGGTTGCTGTTTTGCTGGAACCAAGAGCTGAGCAAGTATTGCCGGATTCTCCAATTTATAAGAGGAAGTCAGACTTTCAGGTGACATCTCTCATTTGTAAATGATGACAATGAAACGCTTTTTAAAACGTTTTTGAGAACCTATGGGAGCCAAACTGAACGTGTCCACAGGTGTGTGGACCGCCGGCTGGGAACGTTCCTCCATGCACTAAAATACTGGTCTCAGGACTGTCCACTCGGGTTTCTCTTCCTCGGAGAAAAGGAGTAAATACTAAGGTATCTCCCTTTTGTGTTTGTTGACAATTCCTTCTGTCCTTTTTTTCCAGGCTACCTACTGTCTCTGCTCTGCCCGAACTCCTCCCAGGCCTGGTGTGAGATCACAAACGTGTCACAGCCCCTGGCTTTTCCTGTCCTCTACAGGGACCTGAATTCCAGCGTAAGCAACTGGAGCGTTTCTGCAAAAGTCGAAAACAAATACAGTCTGTATGTGGGCCTGTTGCTGGCAGTCAGTTCCAGTATTTTTATTGGCTCCAGCTTCATATTGAAAAAGAAGGGCCTCTTGCAACTGGCCAAGAAGGGCGTTACCAGAGCTGGTAAGAAACGGATGCAGCTAGCCAATTCAGGTTTCTGCAGCAACTGCAGAAATAACCCTGTTGTAAGACTTTTTTTTTTTTTTTAAGATTTTATTTATTTATTTGACAGAGAGAGACACAGCGAGAGAGGGAACACAAACAGGGGGAGTGGGAGAAGGAGAAGCAGGCTTCCCGCAGAGCGGAGGGCTCCATGCGGGGCTCCATGCAGGACTCCATCCCAAGATCCTGGGATCCTGACCGGAGCTGAAGGCAGACGCTTAAAGACTGAGCCACCCCGGCGCCCCCTGTTGTAAGACAGTAGTAATGGTTTACTGTCTCTACCTTAGCCCCTATCTCTGTTCTTAGCAAAGTTCCCCTGCAGTTTCCAGGATTGAGCCCGCTGTGTCGCCTTTAGGGTGAAACTAAAGTTCTTGTTCCCAGAGGTTGAGAGTGTGGTTTGAGTCCTTCTTTCAGAGCTTTTGTGTGCAATTTCAGTATTCAAGGTCAGACGCTGCTTCCCTGCTTAAAACACGTCAGTGGCTTTCTTTGCACGGTGGCTCAGTCGTTCGGCATCTGCCTTCGGCTCAGGTCATGGTCCCGGGGTCCTGGAATCGAGCCCCGCATCAGGCTCCGTGCTACACGGGAGGCCTGCTTCTCTCTCTCCCGCTCCCCCTGCTGTGTTCCCTCTCTCACTGTGTCTCTCTCTGTCAAATAAATAAATAAATTCTTTAAAAAAAACAAAACAAAAAACCACTTTTCCGCAATCTCTGACCTCCTGCATAAAATGGCCCTCGCAACCTCTCCAGCTGGATCTTCTGCCACCCTCCCTCCCTGTCACCTACTTTTCTCTGCTTCCTGGAATAGACCAAGTTCTTTGCCACCTCAAGGCCTTTTCCCTTCGCCTAGAACGCTCTTCTCCCTGCCCTTTCTTTGGCTGACTCATCCTTCAGGCTTCAGCTTAAGTATCATCACTTCTGACGGTCTTCCTTTCTGGGGAGGTGTCCCTCACCCCCCCCCCCCGTTACTCTCTATCATGGCACTAAGCATTTCTTTCATTGTACCTAAAACAATCTGTCATTGTACGTTTATTGCTTATTTACTTATTTATTGATAGCAGATGCACGAGAGCAGGAACCTTCCCCAGGGTAGTGTTTGGGACCCAATAAATATTTGTTAAATCAATAAACGGATAGCAGTAGAATTAGGTTGCTATTTATAGTGATGCTTCACATGCTGAGTAACTCAGCTTAACTACCCTTCATTAACCATGAATTTCTATTCATTTTTTTTCTTTTTTTGCCATTTTATTGATGTATAGTGAATATACAAACACTTCACGTATTTAATGTATACAATTTGATGAGCTTGGACATATGAATATACCTGTGATACCATCACCATAATCAAGATAATAAACATATATATTACCTCCCAAAGTTTCCTTACGTCCCTTTTCCTTTTTTTTTCTTTTCTTTTTTTTTTTTTTGGTCATCAGAATACATAACATGTGGTCTACCCTCCTGTATTTTTTTTTTTTTCTCTTTCAGACATTTCTTTTTATTTACAGTTTGTGTTCAATGCAAATCAATTCTATAATATGAGAAGTTACTATGAATCAAAGCATAAATACACAAACACAATATACAATCCAAAATAGATGTATAGCATTCAGGCGTGAAACAAAACAGAATTTTCATTTACATACACAGTGGCTTGACATCTGTTGGATATGGTTGTTTCAGTGTAGGTTCTAAAGATGGAAAAAAATGACCTTGGTTATCAAGACTACTGTGGCCATATTAGATATTAGAACATCTAAGCATCAGTGCAAACAAAAGTCCTGTTCATCGAGGCAGACAATATCCAAGATTAGTTAAGAGATGATTTCTTAAAATGTGGCTTAAAAAGTATGGACATGGGGGCGCCGGGGTGGCTCAGTCGTTAAGCGTCTGCCTTCAGCTCAGGTCATGATCTCGGAGTCCTGGGATGGAGCCCCTCATTGGGGCTCCCTGCTCATCGGGGAGCCTGTTTCTCCCTCTCCCTCTGTCTCTCCCCCTGCTTGTGCGCTTTCTCTCTCTCTGTCAAATAAATAAATCGAACCTTCAAAAAAAAAAAAAGTACGGACATGTAAAATTCTACCTTGAAAATGAGAATAGATTTTATCTTACCTAGATATAAAGGATGGGATGTGAACAGATTCAGTTTTCATTTGGTTCATGAAATCTTTAAGGCCATAAAACAGGTAATACAAAAAGCTTCCATGATTCTATATATATGTGTACATTAGAAGAAACTTCCAGGTATTGCTGTAAATCCTCAATGCATTGTGTCAGCAGTCCTAATTTAATGCATATATACTCCAGATAAAGCTTTACAGTGTCAAGCTATCACTGTTTCTTGGGAACTGAACTCTTTCCTCTGTGACTCTATTCATTCTTATCAAGAATGTCATAAAATAACTAAATATTATTCTAAGGTTCAGGTGAGAAATGACTACAAATTGCACAAACAAGTTTATAAAAGTACTATTGGAGGACATTTGCACTATCAGAAATAAAATGTACTATAATGCTATAGTAATTAAAACAGTTTGGTACTGGCCCTAAAAAAGATAAATAAAATAATGAAAGATAATTGAAAACTTATAAAGGGACCCAAGTACATATAACAATTTAATATGCAATTTTTAAAAGTGGAATTTCGGGGCACCTGGATGGCTCAGTGGGTTAAGCGTGTGCCTCCAGTTCAGGTCATAATCCCAGGGTCCTGGGTGAGCCCCACATCGGGCTCCCTGCTTGGTGGGGAGTCTGCTTCTCCCTCTCCCTCTGCCTCTCCCCCTGCTTGTGCTCTCTCTCTCTCTCGTTCTCTCTCTGTCAAATAAAATCTTTAAAAAAATAATAAAATAAAATAAAGTGGCATTTCAAGCCACTGGAGAAAGGCTGGATTATTCAATCAGAAGTGTTAAGACAATTGGCAAAAATTAGAGGAAAAAATGTAAGAGTTCTACTTCATACCATTCAGGAATTTAAAATGAAATGATTTTTCTCAAGAAACCTAAAAGAAGGTCTTTCTAAGCATGCAGATAAAGGAAGAATCTATTCTGTATAAAGGAAGAGACTATCTGGATTGATTAAAAAAAAAAATCCTACATGGAAACACCTTAACTAAAACAAAAAAGCAAATGACATACAGGGCCAGGGATGGGGGGAGTGTTTCCAAAATAAATGACAGACAGAGGATATTAAGATCCACAATATAGGGCACCTGGGTGGCTCAGTTGGTTAAGCAACTGCCTTCGGCTCAGGTCATGATCCTGGAGTCCCGGGATTGAGTCCCGCATCGAGCTCCCTGCTCAGCGAGGAGCCTGCTTCTCCCTCTGACCCTCCCCCCTCTCATGTACTCTCTCTCATTCTCTGTCTCAAATAAATAAATAAAATCTTTAAAAAAAAAAAAAAAGATCCACAATATATAAAGAATGACCATAGTTGTTAAGAAAAAGATTAGTACCCTAAGATAAAATAGGCAAATACATAAACAAGAAACTCACAAAATAAGAAATGCAAGTGTCCAATAAACATATATAAGTAAATGTTATTTCACTAGTACCAAAAGAGATACCATCATATAACAAGGAGCTCCTGGGTTGTTGTCTATCATTTTTCTTTCTTTTTTTTTTTTGGTGGGGTGGGGGAGGGCAGGGACAAAGGGTTAGAGAGAGAGAGAGAGAATCTAAAACAGGTGTCACGCCCAGCACAGAGCTGATCATGACCCTGAGATCATGACCCCTTCAGAAATCAAGAGTCAGACGCTTGATGCTTAACCAGCCGAGCCACCCAGGTGCCCCTGTTGCCTACCATCTTAACAAAGTTTTGTTTCTTCTTTATTTTTTTTTTAAAGATTTTATTTATTTATTTGACAGAAAGAGACAGCAAGAGAGGGAACACAAGCAGGGGGAGTGGGAGAGGGAGAAACAGACTCCCCGCCGAGCAGGGAGCCCGATGCGGGGCTCGATCCCAGGACCCTGGGATCATGACCCGAGCAGAAGGCAGACGCTTCACGACTGATCCACCCAGGCGCCCCTGTTTTTTCTTTAAAAGGCCCTATGTTGGTAAGGGACTTTGGAAAATAAATAGCCCTTCCAAACATTGCTGGAGGCAGTATAAACAGGTACAGAATTTCCTAAGAGCAATTTGGTAAAGCTTAAAAATGTCAATGACTTAAAACCTAATAATTCCACGTCTGGAAATTTATCTTAAGAAGTGAATGAGGATGCCACCTATAGTTACATACGAGGATATTTATTGAAGGGCTTTATATAATGAGAACAAAAGTAGAAACCCTGTGGGGGGGGGGCAGTGCGTAGCTGCACACAGGTTAAGTAAATAATGATATGCCAGATTTTGAAACAATATTCAACCATTAATTAAGGACATGAGAAAGTATTTATGATATATTAAGTTTTTAAAAGACAGATTATGAAAATATATTGCAATATTCCAATTTAATCATGTGCACAGTTTGTAAGAAGAAAATCCTAAATAAACTACTTTGCAAGATGATCTTCACAGCTGATACACCCTGTTTAATTATAACAAAATCAGAGAGGTCAAATACATAGGATTAAGTATATTAAAATTGGTGAGAAAATTCCATTTTCTATAGCAAACGTAACAATGACTTTAGGTCACAGATTACAGTAAAGAAAAGATAACCCATGGAATACCTTAGGAAAGCTTTTTACCCTTTTCAATAGACTAGAAACTCAATTTCCTGATGCCAAGGTAGAGAATAAGGAGAGTCCAGCTGGCTAATGCTTGTTATTCTCTGATTGATTATCCAAAATCTCAAAAGCTCTTCTGTCAACCATCTTCTTCCCTTTAAGGTCCTCATTAGGCACCGATATAATTTACAATTTATGGTTTTCTGTCTTTAATTTTAACTGTAGCTGAAACAAAGAATCTACGGCTTATAATATTCTGTGTCCACACCTCTGGCGGGCATAAATACAGTAAACCTAATGATTACACAAAATTTTCTTGCAAATGAAAAAACTCTTTATAGACATCAAGTGAAGATCTTCAGAAATGACCAAATAAATAAGTGGATGGCCTTGGATTTGGCCTTAATGTGAGGTCTCAATGGTGTGTCTCTCAATAGGACGGGGGCCCCCAAATGTGGGGCGACAATAGAGTGGAAGCCACTGGTGTGGGTAGTGAAAGAATTCACCTGAGGCAGAACAAAGGAGATGGAAGTTGACTGAACCACCACAAGGGAGCAGCGGGTAGGAAAGCAGAGGAGAGGCTGTGTGCGATGAGGTGGTGGGTGGGGGCTGTTTCTAAGGGGGAAGATAAGGAGGTATGGGGATGTATGGAATTCTCCCTTTTTTGGTTAACTGCGTCGTTGTAAGTAGCCCAGTGGTCAGTTAGGGCCGGTGGCCATCTTGAGGTGGGCCGCCTGGTGGGCCTTTCCTACATTCCATTGCTCAAGACTGTTGGCCTGAAAGTGGGCTCGACACTTAAGTCTTGCCTTTTCCAACCACCAACCACATTTCTCTCCTAGTTGAAGAACCTAGAAGTTCTTCAAACCTTCTTCCTCCAGTTAAGAACCTAATTTTAATTTTTCTTATGTTCCCAGGACAAGGTGGACATTCTTACCTCAAGGAATGGCTCTGGTGGGCAGGATTACTCTCAAGTAAGTCCTTATTGCTAAGAATAATGTTTGCTTGTAAAATGGGTAAATTGCACGGAATTGTTCAACATCGATTACTTTATCTTTCTGGTAAGGATGGCATTCAAGTCTAGAAATTTTCGTGCAGGTATAATATATTGTCTTATATATAAAATAAGTCCTATATTTTTAGAATTAATTATTCCCCGTCTCTCCCTGTACCTCCATGTTCTCAATACTGTCTTGGAATGCAAGGGGAAAAAGTTAATATTTGAAATATTATCTTTTATCACAAACCTCTCCTTCGGTTATATTTTATTCCTCAGAACAAGTGAGGAAAATGCCTTCTTCCCACATTTCCCTGCTCCTAATTCAAATCTGTGACTGTTCTAGCTGCATGTTTTCTAAGGAATGGATACATTTTCCTGGTCAGGATGAAAACATGGGTAGCTTAAAGTCCCCTCTGGCTGCATAGCACTGAACAAATGGAGAGAAGATGCAGCTTGTCGGCACGCCCCCTCTCCCAGACTTGCCCTGAGGACTACCTGAGACTGTTGGATGGGGAAAAACACTTTATAGATGCTCATACGGTGTGCAGAGAAGATCTCTCAAGGGCACTTCTGCAGCTTTCTATCTCCTCCCCTAACTCCTCTGAATATTCTTAAATCCCAAACCTAAAACTTCCGAAGGTGGGAGCTTCTCGTTTCTCACCACCATCTCCCTCTGCAGCAAGAAGCCTTCAGACTTCCATCTATCTTCCCATACACTTCAGTGACACACTTCAGGACGTGTGTGGTCCTCTTATGCAAAAGAATTGGGTAACTTGGCTTTAATATAAGAATCTCAAAAGATGATAAATAAAAATTAAATTTAAACTTGTATAGCCCTTTCAGTTGTTAAGGTGTTTTCTGTTTTCTTACTTCATTGGAATAAAAGTTGACAGGGACTGAATTGAGAAGACCCCAGATAGATATTTTGGATTATTTTTTTCTCCTCTTCTCTCTCTCCTTGTGTTTCCCCACCCTCTACTCGCACAATAGGATGAAGATATAAGGAGAATGTTATGTGGCTACATTTACAGTTTTATTTCCATCATGCACAAAGTTCATACCACTATTGAAGAGAGAAAAGCAGAAGTCTACAACATTAGAGATTTTATCTAGTGACAAACATACAGCACTTCAATCATGAAATTAATATTTTCCTGGGAAGCTGTCTGTAGAGATAAAAATATAAATACTATCAAGTATTCAAGAAAGTTTCGTATTTGAAGAAAACTGCCATGGCTCTTCTTAGAAGAGCAGTCCCCCAATTGTTCTGTTCTGGAAGCTTCTATCTGTGTTATGCTATTTCCCTAAACCTGAGTACTCCTGCATATTTGACTGGGGGAGAAGGGAAGGCTGGGAGCATAGCAACCAGAGGGAAAAAGAAAAAGTATTCTGGTGTCTTTTATCTGTTCCAGAAGCTTTCTCTACAATGGCGTAGGTTGCCCTCATGAAATACTACACTCTGTGGGCAAATGTTCAGTTGTAACCCGTAAGAGTAATTTGGCCCCCAGACAAGAGTCCTGTCCTTAGAGGGAGTTTCCCTCACTCTAAAAGTCATCTCACAGAAGTGGAGTTCCTCAGTTAAGAGAAAGATTGCAGGAGCACATCCTTATGATTTTAAAACATCCCTTGGGATCTCCTTGAGCTTCTAAGATACCGTTAAGGTGCTTTTGGATCATCTACAATTCAGAGACGCCTGGCTCCCCGGGCCGTGGTAGGCATTCCTGGCTATCCCCTGCCAGGCCAGTAGATCTCTGCAAAGCATTCTGATTTGCCACATGGTTTTTTTTGTTGTTGTTAATGTGCATAACAGTAGGTATTCTTTTTTTTTTTTTTTAATTTTTCATTTATTCATTTGAGACACAGAGATAGAGAGACAACCTGAGCAGGGAGAGAGGTAGAGGGAGAGGGAGAAGCAGGCTCCCCACTGAGCGAGGAGCCCGATATGGGGCTTGATCCCAGGACCCTGGGATCATGATCTGAGCCGAAGGCAGACGCTTAACCATCTGAGCCACCCAGGCGCCCCAACAGTAGGTATTCTTGAGCACATAGAATAATTCTTTGCTTAGGCCAAAACCACCTCCAATTAAATTTTATTGAAGTGACATACCTAAAATCTCTATTGGAAGTCACTTAAAATGTGTATTCATCTGTCATCACTTTTTGCATTAATTGAGTTCAAATCACCAGGTAATTACAGTTTATCTGCCTCCCTTAATACCAATCCCCCCCCACCCTCCATAAGAAAATGTTAAATTGCTCCTTTTAGCTGGATCTGTCAGTATCTTTGGGATAGAAGTCCACCACTTTGCATGTGTTACTGCTTTTTCTCTTCTGACAAGTCAGTCCATCTCTCATACGACCACTGCGGCTTGCTTTCCAGTGGGAGCCGGAGAAGCGGCCAATTTTGCAGCTTATGCTTTTGCACCTGCCACCTTGGTCACCCCATTGGGTGCTCTGAGTGTTCTCATAAGGTACGTGAGAAATGAACTTGGCTTTTTTTTTTTTTTAAGATTTTATTTATTTATTTATCAGAGTGGGAGCAAGAGCGAGAGAGCGCACACAAGCGGGGGGCGGGGGGTGCGGCAGGCAGAGGGAGAAGCAGGCTCCCCACCGAGCAGGGAGCCTGACACGGGACTCGATCCCGGGACCCTGGGATCATGACCTGAGCCGAAGGCAGACGCTTAACCGACTGAGCCACCCAGGTGTCCCTGAGCTTGGCTTCTGTAGAGATGCCAGTACCATGATGAATATAAACCACAAGAAATACATTGCTAAGCATATCTTAAAACAAAATATCATACAACTCACTTGAGAAGACACAAGAAAGAGCAGTAGAAGTAGGGAATAAATTGTGTTGTTATTTAGAAAACCTACGGGAGTAGGCCTGGTTTCCTGCTAACATAAAATAATCGTGTGTTATGTTTGTGTTTATTCAAAGAAGTCTCGCAGATTTTTTTCTCTCTCTCTTTCTCTCACCTAAACACATTGCCACAGCCCATTCAGTCCTTTCTGTTGTCATAGTGGTTAATGACCATAGTGATCAGAGGACTTTTAAAAGCATAGTGTTTGGGTTAAATTTCAACTCTCACTGAAAGTCTTCCATTGTTTGCCAGATAGTTATATTTGGAGACCTTTTAGTTTCTTTTAGTACTGGAAACAGGAATAATTTTTGTGTTCATAAAACACAGGTCTCATTTTTCTGAGTTGTCATTATTATGATCCCAAATGAATGTGTTCAGTGGGCGCATGAACTCTTATAGCTAAGCAACTATATTATTTATTGTATTTTTCTATTCCTTTTATCTCCATTCGTTATCCACCTCTAGTAGAAAGCCTATGACTAGGTCAACCCACTTCTTTTCACCTGCTTTGTAGGACTGTTGTGAGAAGTAAATGAGTCAGTACACACAGAGCTCTAGAACACTGTCTATGCATGGAACCATAACTCTTAGTAGTAGCAGTGTTTTGGCTGAGGCTGCAGTCTTCCCAAGGGGCCGCACGAGGATGACTCTAAGAAGGTGCCAGGTAATGGACCACAGTCTCAGGTGCACCTTAGTATAGGTCATATACCCTTGTGGGAGTGCCAGGGCATCAGGGGAAGGAGGCTGGTGTGCAGGAGCTACAGCAGACCTATTTGGTGGAGCAGCAGAATGGCAGAGTCTGGTGTCCATGGTGGTGCCAATAGAACTTCCTGAGGCCATGGCAACCAAATGGTGGGGACTCTTGAGTAAGTGAAAGTATCAGGGCAGAAGCGGCTGGTAAGGAAATACTTCAATATTTTGATAACCCATATGGTTGTACTTGTGTGTACTAGCTAAATATCAGCCCTGAACAGAGTGATTCTTCTTTAGACATGTAGCTTTCTTTGAAGCTTTCACGAGCTCACACATTCTCAATGAATCATGCCAGTAAGATGTAAAAGGTCTTCCATTTTGTTTGGCTCTGCAGGAAAAGGTGGGGAAACTGAAAATTAATTGAGTGGGACCTACCTCTCTTGGGAAGATGACAAAGGTACAGAATGTCTGTTAAAAGTCTTGATATAAAAGCAAGCCGATTTGATTGACCATTTCTGAGTCTTAAAACGAATCAGGCTTTTCAGCGTCCTGTAGCATATTCAGATAAGTTGATTGGCAACTGGGATAGAGGGGCAGGTATCACAGTGTGACTTCTGAGCTGCTATGGAATCCATCGTTAACTGAATGAGAGTGATTTTTTTTTTCTTCTCCCAACAGTGCAATATTGTCTTCCTACTTTCTAAATGAGCACTTGAACATTCATGGGAAAATAGGCTGCATATTAAGTATATTGGGGTCAACTATGATGGTTATCCATGCCCCACAAGAAGAGGAAGTCACCTCTTTGCATGAAATGGAAATGAAATTGAGAGACCCAGGTCTGTGATTCAACCAAAAGAAACACTCAGATTCTGTTCCACTCTCTCTCCTCATCAAATGAATTTGTAATAATACCGTAGACAGCTCCCTTCAAGCCTCATTATGGGTTGTCTGATAAAGTTAAGGTTTGACTGGATTACAAGTCTTCTGTAAAGGGGACACAATGTTCTGTTCCGGCCGTGCTTGCTCTCTACACACTGAAAAGAGATGGGGATAGGAGGGGCAAAAGGCATATACTCCAACCCCAACTTTGGCCACTTTCCCCCTCCGAAAATAAAAAGTCAGTCAGATGATACCTGCCATACCTCATAGTGTTATTTGTGAGATTCAAAGGATATGTTTGTGAAGGTCCATTGTAAAATGTCGAGAGCCACGCAGCAAAATGCCGTCTTGTTTTTGTTGTTTTAATTTAATCTCACTTCCCTTTCTGAAACACCTACACTCCTAAACTCATGGCTAACAAGATTTCACAGGAGATATGGTCCTATTAGCATTTTCTGAAGTTGAATTCTTTTCTCTTCCAAACAGGATTTATCTCCTTTGCTGTGATCATAATTGTGATCTCGTTGGTGCTGATTTTGATCGTGGCTCCCAAGAAGGGACAGACCAATATATTGGTCTACATTTCAATCTGTTCATTAATTGGAGCATTTTCAGTTTCTTCTGTCAAGGGCCTGGGAATTGCCATTAAGGAACTTTTGGAATGGAAACCAGTTTACAAGCATCCCCTGGTCTTCGTTTTGCTGGCTGTACTCGTGCTCTCAGTGATGACACAGATTAACTATCTCAACAAGGCACTGGACACCTTTAATACATCTCTTGTGACTCCCATTTACTATGTGCTCTTCACGTCCATGGTAGTAACTTGCTCCGCCATCTTATTCCAAGAATGGTATGGCATGAAAGCTGGAGATATCATCGGGACCCTGAGTGGGTTCTTCACCGTTATCAATGGCATCTTCCTTCTACACGCATTTAAGCATACTGACATTACCTGGAGTGACCTGACATCCACTACTCAGAAAGAAGTCCTCTCTCTGAATGGTGGTGAAAACAAATATGTCTTACTAGAGAATACAGAATGTTCAACCCCAGGACTCAGTGATGACATTACCTTGTTTAGCAGGACTGATGATCAAAGTCTCTAGAAACCCTGAACTTAAACCACATAAGACACTTGGAAAGGGTAAGAAAGGTCTGATTTTTTTTGAAGAACTGTTAGGGGGGAAAAAAAAAAGGCCTTCCTTTTGGGCCATCAAATTTGAAAATCAAGGTTTGGATCCTCCTCCAGAAGACTTCTACTGTTTGTCATTTCTACAAACTTGAAATATTCTCTAAGCACAAAAGAAGTCAAAGAGTTATAGGAGTCTCCGAGTAATGTCTTCTGGTCACAATGTATTTGTCTCTGCCAAGTGGCTCTTCATTTCTTTGGCTGCTATTCTTAGTAATTCATAGATAAACTTAACTATGTGCTGATAAGCAGAGTATCAATCATCATTCTCTGATGAGTCATAGTTTCAAATTATTAAACCTGAGAAGCGAGATTACTGGTGCTTCCCCCCCACCCTCTATAACTTCCTTCTTTCTAAACTAGATAGCTAAAGAGTGGAGTGTTAAAGAAAAAATAGGCCTGCCTTGGAAATTTGCTCCTTGGTGGGCTAGAATGCATAAGACACACAGCCCATGAAGGGCTTATGGATTGTAATTTATTGCCATATCAGAAAAATGTATTAACAATTCAAAAGGGGAGAATGGAGAAAGGAGAGAAATACTTAAATGAAATACAGTGTTTTTTCTTTTCACACACACACACACACAAATACAAATGATTACATTCAAGGCTTCTTTTAACTCAAACCTGAAAAATGTAAGACAAACTTGAGTTTCTGGAGAAGTCCAAGTGATTTCAGCTTTAGAGTTCCTTATACTCACTTTGTCCCTTTCTCTGTTATCCCAAAGGTCATTTTTCCTGTTGACAGACTTTTGTAAAAGTAACTGGTACATTACTTTAGGATTATATGGTACACCTCATTTTTCTCAAATATCTAATCCCCAAAGGGTAAGTTTTCCACAGACTGTTTGGAAATAATTAGAAAAATCTTTGCAAAATCCTGAATGAGTTACCGTAATTGTTCTCTTGAAATTTGGCACTTTCACCATTATTAAGGAAATTATAGTTAGTCACTAACCTTTTTTAAAAATATACATATCCTACCACAATAAGTAGTAGGTTTTTCTTTTTCTGTTGAATTTCATCCTGACCATATTTTCCATACATTTTACTGAGAAGTGTTTTTGGGGAATAGGAAGGGGAATGAACTTCCCAGAAAACAAAATATTGAAACCTCGGGGACTACTACAGGAAAATACCTTTTGCATATTATGACCTCTATACAATTTTCCTGTCTCCAAGCGCACAGCAGGAATAACATTTTTGGTGGGCTTTCGTGTTTATGGACAGATATCACTCACTGATTTCATGAGAAAGAAATTACCTATTTCCAGACTAAACTTATTTCTGTCAAAACAAAAGTCCTAACCAAAAAGTTATGACATTAAGACAAAACAAAACAAAACAACCTTCCAGTTGATTCGATTTTTTTCTGTTCCAACATCAGATGTTATTAGTTTTGTTTGTTTGTAATCAAGATCAAGTCTGTCCTGGGTAGTAATAGTAAATTCTCTTACCAAGAATTCTATTCAACTGACATTAGCATTTCCCAGTTCTGTGGAGCTCTGACTGATGTTCCCAGGGAAGTCCTGAGGTGACCATGACGTTGGAAAGGGCTGTCAACGTCTCTTCAGCACAGGTCAGTGTTGAGTGCACCTCAGTGCGTTCCTATTTTTGAAAATTGATAATCCATGGAAGATACATGGGTTGATACCTCAGGTCAAGTACGTGTTTACTCTGTTGATTGCTGTTTCACTTTAATTGTATATCAGATGTATAAGCTATGAACACAAGTTTGCAGGAGAAGTATTTTCTGAAAAGGTAGCGTTAAAAATGGTTGAAATTCTTTTAAAGGTTTTCTTTCCTATCGAAAAACTCTACTGATTTCTCCAGGACACGTTCTTAGTGAGGAAATTAAGGGCATCCAGCCTGAGGCGGTGGTGGTTCTCCACTCTAGTGAGAGTCAGTGTCAGGTATTTCTTAAATGTCACCTGTTACAAAGCTTTGCCCTTGGTATATCGCGCCCAGGCTAAAGGTTCAAGGAACACAAGAACTCATGGGCGTCCTGGATTGGAAAATGAACTGGTGTTGACATACATCCCTAGGAGAAAGGCTGAGAAAGATTTAACAAGTTGAAACATGTTGGAGAAACAATGAAATATTTTTAAAACTCTAAAAATCCCTGGTGGGGGGTGCCTGGGTGGCTCAGTTGATTAAGCGACTGCCTTCGGCTCAGGTCATGATCCTGGAGTCCTGGGATCGAGTCCCGCATCGGGCTCCCTGCTCGGCAGGGAGTCTGCTTCTCCCTCTGACCCTCCTCCCTCTCATGCTCTCTGTCTCTCATTCTCTCACGCAAATAAATAAAATCTTATTAAAAAAAAAAAATCCCTGGTGGGTATATGCATTGAAAAACCAAAATGTTATTGTAAACCTAAAACTAATAATAATTTTTCCCAAATAGGAAGATACTGTCTAAGAAGGAATAAAATGCTGGATCCCTGTATTCAGACTAACTATGTTAGTCTTAACTGGTAGTTTCATATAGGTATATATTTTAACATATATCTTTATCTCACCTACGTATCTTAAGATTTATTATGTGGATGTCTGCACATGGGTCATGAGGGATTACAAAGCTGTCTTCACACAGCCAGATTGAAAGTTTTCCCAAATTCTGTAAATATAAGAGTTTCATCTTATTTTTTGACATAATTTTATTGTAGGTCAATGGTTAAGAACTTTATTTTTAGGTGCGCCTGGGTGGCTCAGATGGTTAAGTGTCTGCCTTCGGCTCGGGGTGTGATCCCAGGGTCCTGGGATCGAGCCCCACATCGGGCTCCTGGCTCAGCGGGGAGCCTGCTTCTCCCTCTCCCTCTGCCTCTCTCCCTGCTCATGCTCTCTCTCTCTGTATCTCTCTCTCTCTGTATCTCTGTGTCTCAAATGAATAAATAAAACCTTAAAAAAAAAAACTTTATTTTTAGTTCAGATTGCAGAGAGTATTCATAAAACTCTTTAGATTTAGCAGCATGAAATTAACACCTTTGTTTTAAGGGCACTAAATGAAATACATGGAAAGCACCCCACATCGGGCCTGATGTATGAGTCATTTAATAGAATTTAGTTCTCTTTGAATCGACATTTTGATTCTTACTGTCTTATTACTAGATAGTTAAGGACAATTAGTTGCCAATTTTCATACATTCTTCATCTTTTCTTAAGTTGTGTCACATTAGTTTGTTTTAAATAATCCAAGTGAAAATGAATTCCATCATTATAACTATCTCAACACCAAAATGAGTCCAACAAAAATATTTTTTCTTAAAGCCCATAAAACTGAACTAAATGCAATCTTCACATTCTAACAAAACTTTGTGGAAAAGTAATTTGTATGAATATATATGAAATGTTCCCAAATATTTGGAATAAACTCTATAGTCGTGAAATTTTCTATTTTTCAAATGTTTATACGTACTGTTCATTTTAGAAAGTTTATGAATTTCAAATTAATGTTTCTGTATATTTTTCATTTGCAATAAAATGTGGTTTAGTTATGCTTGCTGGAGTTCAATTTTTAGTTTATTGAAGTTAAGTATATGTAATGGCAAAAATATCCTCATTTAGATTGGAGATTTTTTTTTTTTTTAAGTTTTGAGGTTAAAAACAGAATCTACACTTAGGTTAATTTTGCTCTATCATTTTCCTTGAAATTGAAATCTGTTTTTTAGAAGAAGGCTCTCCACAAAACCATTTCCGTATAATTGATTTGGCACCTAAACCAAAGGTAGGAGAAACTGTCTTATCTTTAAATAATTGCATTGAACAAGACAGGTTTTCAAAGCAGTCAGTATAATGAAATCTCTCAGTTCAGAAATTTGAAAGGAGAAAGCATTATAAAAATACTTGGTAGCATTGCATTATATTAAGTTCACATTTGCAAACTCAGCAAATTGAAGAAGCAGAGGAAAAGGGAGAAAGCATTATAAAAATATTTGGGGCATTGCGTTACATTAAAATTTACATTTACAAACCCTCAGCAAATTTCCTTCTAGCCCCTCTGGAACGAAATATTCATTTCATGGGGGCACCTGGCTGGTTCAGTTTCTTGATCTCTGTGTCATGAGTTTGAGCCCCAGGCTGGGGTAGAGTTTACTTAAACAACAACAACAAAAAAACTTTGCTTCATGTATTGACCACATCACTAAGACTTTATCAATTTTCCCTATTTTGATTTGAGCTCATGTTTGAGACCAACCCTCTCAGTTGTCTCGATGGAAATAAATTGTCTAGGATATAAAAGGCCTCTTTCTTATGGTATCCATTGTATAAATAAAGAAAGAATACACAATTCCTTAAATCACATAGTTACTTAGGACCAAAACACAAGCTTGCCAACACCCTGGACTACTCGATCCACTGAGTGTAAGCATCTCTAAGGAAGGCTTGGTGGAGTTGGCTATGTGTAGAAACCGCACATCTCAGCAGAGTGTTCATCAAATGTTCATCAAACATTACAGCACCCTGGCTTCAGTTTATAGGAAGCCTCTTAGAGGTAAGCATAGGTTACCAAGAGTCTTAAATTTTATAACACCGAGCGACATATTTTTCCCAACTGAAAGCTCTGATTGGTTACAAAAAACAGCAAAAAGCCTTTTGAGAGCGCTGGCTGCCTGAATCACCCTTTTACCCCTTCGTCACAAATCATGAAAAACCTTTCTCCGGGAGGGGAAAATGAATCTCTATAAATGCCCTTGGTATAGGAGAAAACCTTTGCGTTAGAAGGCATTTTAGTTTTTATATGTAGAACTTCCCCAAGGGCTGAGGGGAGTAGAACCTCTGCAGGCCAAGCTCACCCGCCCTCAGAAGCCAAGTCGTCACACCAGTGTTCTGTCCTGGGACACTCATAAGACCGTGTGGACCTCCCTTCCCACCAGCCATGTGTAGGCCCCAGCAATGGACAGGGCTGGTAGTAGAGATAAAGAAGCCATGTCTGAGTGCATGTCCCCAGAATTTGCTCCCATTTTCTGCTTTTGTGATCCAGCCAGTAACTCCTGACTGCCAGGAAAGAGCATCCACTCAGTCTGGCTGGATGGCTAGTGAACTGTTTTTCGAATACCTTCTCCAGGGACTCATGGACCATAGAAAGCCAACCCAGGGCCCTAGTCTCTATGGAGAAAGCCTCTGGGTCCTAGAATGGATCCTGGGTAATGACGTGGGGCTACACCTTGAGTTCGTTGTACCTCCAGACGGTACACTCAAGGACATCGAAGGCCAATAAAACAGATTGTTTCATAGACCAGGAATGCACAAACTCGTCCTCTGACTCAGGAGGTCTCCCTGTCTCTCAATTAGCTTTGGTCTTTGTTTTCACCATCAACATCTCATCATACTACCAGAAAAGTTTTAAATAAAATACATTTGCATAAAAGAGCTCTCTCTTCTCCTTAACTCATGGAACTAGAAAGCTGGGTTATAATGGGCAAGGCTTGAGGAAACAGAAAAATTCCTATCCATAGAATTAGGTTTTATTTACCCGTTACCTTACTTGAACTTAATTCCTTCTGAGTAGTCTTGCATGCACAGAAAAAGAGGACAAATCTTTCTACCAGTTTGGAGTCTGCTTTTAGACTTTGTAATGCAGCGATTCAATCTTCTCAGCAAGCACTGAGCTAGACACGCAGCAAAGGGAAGCTGTCAGATCAAGTTTACATGGGCAGAAAGAAGAACCACCATCAACAGCGCCATGATGTCTTACTGTGGGAACCAAACTGGTTTAGAATCAGACAGACTTAAGGCACTCAGGGCAGTTGGAGTTACACAGAGCAGGTCCACTTACGGGGAGGTGCCTGCTGATTGAAGATTAGCCCGCAGCCAAAGGAAAAATAAAAAGCGTGGAGGAACTGGTCAAACAAGCTCAAGTGTTCCTTATTTGCTGTGCAGCCCAGTGCGGACTAGCCGGGGTGGAGCCTGATCTACTTCCACGGCATCGGAATAATTTCCAGGCCAGCAGAGTAAAGGTCAGCCCACTGCCACCAAACACATTTGTGGGCCCAGTGGCTCTGAAAGGCCCTAACTCCGGAATCATCAAGAGACATCAAGGATGAGCGCTCATATCTGTAGCCACAGAGAAACATGTTCAATTTCGTTCCCAAGCAAGGGAGGAAGGGAGGCTGACTTCCAAGTCCGAAGTAAACTCAGCTGACTTTCATTTCCCCCCCAGTCAACTAGCAGACGCCACAAAAACCAACCAACTCTTTCCTAAAATATATGAACCTCTGGCTCTTTCCTCGGGTTTCATGGACTTCTGCATGTTGTGTGGCTCCCCCGATGAGAGGTACAGAGGAGAACCCCACCCGTTTCTCTGCGCCTTTAAATCCTCCTCCAGAGACCAGACAGTATTGACATCAAGAGGGGAGATGCTGCAAGCTCCCCACCGCTGGGCTTTTGGCGCTTCGTAAAAAGGCACTGCGTTTCCTTCACTCTCCTTAGCCTTGATTGCATAGCCATCCTGGCAGCTGACCCAGGGAAAGGGTGGGCAGGTTAGCTAAAGCCTGTAGGTGTCGAGTTAGCAAGGGGACAGGCTGTTAAATAGCTGTTCATCATCAGGCATGGATGGGCCATGTTTCTCTCATTGTTCCGCCTTTTAAAAAACTTCATAAGGAGGTTTGACTCAGAGTAAACATACCTATACATACATAAAGTATTTTATCTAGTGCAATGATTTTTGGTCCTGGCCTGCATAATTACTTACACTGAGGAAGCTTTTAAAAATTACCATGCCTGGGCCCAACCCCAGACCAATTAAATAAAACTCCTGAGGGTGGACACAGGGAGCAGCATCTGTTAAAAGCTCCCCAGGTGGTTTTAATAAGCAGCCAGGTCTGAGAACCATTTAGATCTAAATCTAAGATTCCACCTATTATAAGTCATGTCCCAATTTCAGCGTTGTTTTTTTAAAAAGTGCTGAAATACACACATATTCTATGGTTGTTTTCAATGTCTTAGGCAGATTTCAACAATCTGTAATAAGGTAGATCATCTTTACCTAAGTAGAAGTACATAGTACAATACTTGCCAACAAGAGTCAGCAGAGATGTATCATTTAGGAATGGGTTGGTTTCAGGTAATTGAACATTGGACTAATATTGGCTTAAAGAAATAGGGGTTCATTTGTATCATATAACAAGAAGTCTGGAAGTGG